TTCGTCAACCAGAATAAGAGAACTCGGTGAAATCCAGACGAAGACTTGTCTGGATTCCACAGATTGTCATCTACTCGACCCAAGGGTCTGCAAGCAAAATAACAAAAAGAGAATTTTTTTTCGAATTCGGTAAAAACCTAAAAATTTCTACAGATGCGAATACGAGATGGTGGTCCTTGATAAACGACATCACGAAGCAGTCCTTAAAGAGCCGCATGCGACTCTGCAGTCCCAGGTTGCCCACCCCTTTACCAGACTGAGACTCGGACTAAAACAAATAAAATTAAAATACCGTCTGAATTAATGCTGCTGGAGGCCCGACGCGTGACCAATTTGGACATGCCCTATCCTACATGTGTTGTGTGGGACAGCCGTTGCCTTGTGCTCTGTTGCAGTGGAAAACCCTGGCCGACCATAGGAAATGGCCGTCTTCCTTCCCTGGCTGAGAGCTGTCACTTTGTATTGACGTACGAGTTCTCCGAAACCAAAAACGCTCTAGTCATGTTTTAAGTCTCTCTCCTTTGGGAGGTACAACTGCAGCGTGCGTGTAGCGCTTAGCTTGCTGTGCTCAGAACCCAGCGACTCGTGTTCGATTCCCGCTCGTGGCCAACACCAGTGACGAATATCTGAGCCGGTCCTGGGCCTCCCCTAGGTTGACTCAGCCTCAAATGAGTACCTGTAAAAATCGCCACTCGGGAGACAAAGGCGGTCGGGCGTGGTGTTTGCTACCCCCACCCCCTCATGTGCTCTGCCGGCATTCGTATGTGCTCGCTTAACAACACGTGCCCCAACAGTCTGTTGACAATTCTGAGAATGTCGCGTAGCAAAACGTACTCTGAATTGACTGAAATCTTTATAGAATTATTGTATAATAAAAGGTATAGGTGCATCCCTGAAATTGCCTGCTCACACGCCGCTGCTGGTTAAAGAGCCTCTACTCAAAAGGAGCTCTCGAGAGCTCGAGATTATCTTTTTGGTTGACTCTTCCATGACTCGCTGGCCCAGATGACTGAAAAGGAGGTGAGATTATCCCCCACTGAACCCCACCACCACACGATCTGCTGATCGACTAACTGGTGGATTTATTTATAACCAGGTGAGAGCCCATCAAGAGGTGGAGCAGTGGCATAGTTTTTCTAGCCCAGTGGTATGAACCTGGTGAACTTATGTTGATTCCCAGCCATGGGTAACATTCGTAGCGAGCGATATCTAATCCGATCCTGTGGACACTCTTCACCAACCCGCACTGATCCAGCGTGAAGCATCGTCAAGCAACTCCCATGACCGACACGTTGCGACGAAGGCCTTTGTCTCGTCGTGGATTTCCAACGGGCTATAAGTTAAGAGCCCATTGAGAACAACATAAAAAAACGTTCAAAAGGAGATCTGGGTCACGAAAGCAATCCGGCACACTCGTGATGAAACAGTATGCTGGGTCCAAATAATAAGAATCGTGGAAAAAAAAGTACAAATCATTAACCAATAAAGAATAATTAAGCAGGATAAAGTTTGAAGTTGAACTTAACATTCCAGCGAGATTAATTTTAAATGGTGTATAAGGTATGTTTAAAAAACATTAATAAACATTTGTCTAAGCAATAAGCCCCCATTGACCATTAAAAAACTAACCAGCAGAAAACACAATGAGTGATTCTGCACATATTTGTTGTTTCGTCAGAAAGGCCTTTTTAACTTCCCTGTACCCATGCGTGATCGATAATGTATGCTGGAAGAGCGCATGTGGTGAAAGCATCTATTTATACCTTTCAACTTAATGGAGAAAAAAAATCCTACTTTTCAAGTGTTTTTAAAATCTATTTCAGACCTGCCCGCAGACACACGGGGGACTGCAACAACCAGTTTTACAACAACCAGTTTTACAACAATGGCTATTAAATAACTGCCCTCAGGTTATGGCGCTCAGAAGGCCAAGCTTTTGACGCTCACAATCTTCTTCGAAGCCGCAAGTCCCATTGCTGCAGGGGATCGGCTGCTCGCATTTTCTTTCTTCATGTGCTTCTATACTGCGCCTGTTCTCTGGTCACATCCACCACCCTCGTGTCTCGTTCCACGACATACTTCACTCTCACCCTCGGGGTATCCTACCCTGCACCGGTGGCATCTACATAGTTCTTCTCGTCCGTGGGTCTCTGTGTAAGTTTTTGGCTTTGTGTGAGGCTATGGGTCTCTGTTTGAGTATATGGCTGTCTAATCTCCATCGTCCTAATTGCATCTTCTTGATCTTTTCTCAACACATGCCCAAACCATCTCGGTCACTCCTCTCTTAACCTTTTCGAGCATATAAGTAGCCCCTGCTGAAGCTTAAACGCTTCCATTCCTCCTCCTTTCCCATAGAGGTATTAACCAACATGCACCTTAGAATTATCATCTCTCCTTTCTAGAATTTTTCTTTCTTTGTGCTCTAGTCCCTTCACCGTGTAACATCTCTGGTCGTATTTACTGCTCTATATATGTTCCCCTTTTTCTTTTGGCAACTTTTGAGCGAGTACAATTTTCGTACATTGAATTTTTCTCGACAGGACGCCTCGTTGTTGAGCGATGCAGAAAGATCATTTCTCACACAGAGAGGAGGGAGACCGAGCCGACAGGACTACAATGCCTTACTTGTTTCTTGTTATTGACTGGCATTACTACATCAGCTGTCTTTTAAGTGTGCTAGATGCACTTAATATTCTCTTGGGGGTTTCAACAGCGCACCACCATAAGTGGAGGTGATTTTCTCGTAACTGCTTGAATCCAGGTCGTATGTTTTTTTCTCTACGTTGCAAGCGAGTGCTATTAACCTAAGTGACATCAGTTTACTGATGCTGCCGCGTGCGCGTGTGTGTGTGTTGCCCCCATTTGTGGCTCTTTGGGGACCTAGCTTTAGTAAATCTTCGATCGAGTTTTGTTTTGGTTGGCATTCTTGGTCCAAATTTAACTTTCCATGTGTACATGGCAAAAACTAGCACCGTGCCCCCCCCACCACCACCACCCTCCTCCCGTCTGTCCAGGCTCAGTACGGTTCATTGAATGACCGACTGTTCCCACGCAATCTGCCACAACTGACATGGACTTCCTGTTGGTGCTTCTGAGCCATTGGCCTCAAAATGGCTTATCTGTATCCCGCCTAGGGTGGCCAATGCGAACAAAAGGTTTTATTGAGGCATTATACTGTACCTTGCGATCACAAATGCGCATGATAGCTACGCCACCGTGATAGGTTTTAATGAGAACATTTTCATTAAATGGTATGTTGGATCATAGTATGTTGGATTGAGAGCATCTTTATGGGGGGGGGGGGGAAACTAATTTATTATGAAGCATCCACGGAATAGAAAATTAATGAGAAAGTGTGTGTTATATGAAACAGAACGTATATCTGCGAAGCACTCTGCCTATCGTGGCAACTGCCCATGGTGGATTACTACCCATGGTGGACACGAGAAGCATTTGCCACAACCCATGTGGTACCGACCAACCCGCTTGGCTCATCCCCTATGTTTAGTGCGCAGACGTTGAAATCGCTGTGCTGACACATTGAATTGCTCGTTTCCAAAGTCGATGCAGTTTGTTAATTGTTTTTCAGTGTCTCGGGAAAGTAGAAGGCATAAGTATGAATTGAGGATGTGTCCTAGTTGAAGATAAATTGACTACAAAGCTCTTCCTTCCGGTCTATAAAGCGGCCATCAAACCCATCTCACGTTTGCGGTGTCTCATACAGCACTGCTACTTGTTTGAACGTGTTACACCATTTATGCAATCACATTGCAATGGCAGTTCCACACAAATTATGCAACCTCAGTCAGAATTTCCCCAGCATCTGAAGAAAACCTGTGGGGTGTCATTTTGAAAGTCAGTTATTTGCAGTTTATATATATGGATTATTTATGTAATGATTTAATTGCTTAATGCCTATTGCATAACCGAATGCACCATTGCCATATCAGTGTGGATGGCAGTTGTTTCGGCTCACTATGTTCAACACTGGAATTTGAGCTTTTTTCCATTATTAGGAAATGGTGAATAATTATTTCTATCTGAATTAAAGCCCCAATCGGTTGCCACGCCATCTCCAAGTAAAACAGCACTCTTGAAGATTAATACTAATGATTACCCAAATCGAAATTTTGGAAGTGCCCACAACAAAGCATTAAACATTTACCCCGTCACCCTCGATGCAACCGATCTAGTCAGATCTCGGAAGCTTAGTTTGGTTAAGGATGGTTATTCCTAGGATGGGAGACTACCTGCGAACACCAAGTGTTGAAGGCTTCAGCTATGAGGTGGCCTAGAGGTGGCATTAAAGCAATGCTTTAAAAATGTATAGAAATCTGTGTGACCTTTGAGTGTTATCCCCTTGTATTTTGGTATTCAGTGGCTTTCTTGGTAGGGTTAAGGTTTCTCTGGTTTCTTGCCACATGCCAAACACTCATGAATGGGATTGGCCACACATCCCAATGCAGGACCCTCCTAAATCGAAGACTTAAATACACTATTGATGAATGAAGGGCATGATTTTGTTGTATCATTACTGCTCTGTATGTGTGTCATAAAGAAGCAAGGTTATATAATTTGCTGACACTTAAGTGATGGTACAGCTAAGTGGACCATGGCTGGGATCTGATCTCAGAACCTCATGGTTGGTGGCCTGATTGCTCTGCTGATTGAGATATCTAATCTGAATAATCTTGTGTTTAGTTTGTTAATCTTGTGTTTAGTTGTCCTCCCACACCTCCGATTAGCATAGTTGGCTACGTAAGGTGCGAAAGAAGTTCAACATACATACATACCCATACATATAGTTAAATATAATTTGTGTACACATTGTAAAATACAAGGTATACTTTTGCCATAAACTGTATTTATTTGAAGTTTAAATTTAACAAGATGCATTGCTGCCTTTAATGAATGGCTACACGTTATTTATTAATGCCAGGTATGTTGGAGCTCGATGGACTATTGTTCAACTCTTGCCCCCCCCCTCCACTCTGCCACAGATCACAGAGATGTGTGGTGCGAAACGACTCGGCTATTTTGGCCGCAGCCAATTCTACATTGCGCTCAAGCTCATAGCCGTGGCCCAGGCTGGGCTGCCGATGCGTCTGGAGAGCCTCAGTACAGGTACATCTCACAGGACTTGTGTTGGACACTGCGGTGACTTAATTAATATATATTTGAATAGTTAAATATTTACCTGTGTATATGCACGTGCATTTTTGTTAAATCCTTTATATTACGTTCGCTTGCTTGCTTGCGTGCTTGCGTGCTTGCTTGCTTGTTTACGACCGTGCAAATCTTTCGGTCGTTTTTTAACCCACTTCCCGTGATCCAATCGAGCTGACATTTTCCACACAGACTCGTTGTGCGTGATAATTAATTTTCGTGAATTTTTTTCCTAAATTTTACACTGTTTAGGGAATTTTTTAAAATATTTAATTACCAATTGCTTAATGCTGGCAGACAATCATCTGTGCCCATAGGTGGCAGCCATCTCAAGCCAGAGGACGAGAGGACTCTCGCCGCCACGCATATAAAGGCTTTAGAATGAAAAACTTTGTTTTTACGGGTTAATTTTTTTTTCTATTGCCTTCCTGGCTTATTTCCCACTTGTGTAACGTCTTGCCTTCCTCGTTTTATATCTTCACTCGTTCCTGTCCTGGGCCTTCACCCTCCACGTCCGCTGCACATTCCTTCATATCCTGGTTTCCCATTTGGCACCACCTCTCTCTCTCTCTCTCGGCCTGCCTTTCGTTCTCTGCCCTGCCGCTTCCATGTTCATCACCTTTTCTTCAGGTGTGAGTTTCCTCGCTTCTCACGACTTGTCACCGGCCGTCTGAGTCAACTTTCTTTCAGCTTGTCAGAGAAGGTGTACCACTCTTGCCTTCTAAGTCATCTCTTCATTTCTGACCCATTGCAGTCTTGTGATCGTTGAGATACAGCTCAACTCCTTATTTCTGTTGTGCACGACATTTCCTCCTCCGTGGTTTCTAGTCCATCCAGTCCTGTATGTCAATACTGGTCTTATTAATGTCTGATCCATGTTATGTGTGCCATCCATGCATGATCATTTGCAGATGCAGCTATGGTAGAGCACAATACTCACAATTGTAATATCATAAGTTTAATTCCTGGTGGGGGCTTAAATCAGCCCATAATATTTTTTATTGACAATAATATTGATACCATATTGTGAGTGGCTACTTTGCAGAGAGACTGGTCCTTGCCATAGGAATTAAACTCTGCCCACACTTCTTTGTGCAGAAACACACTGCGCAAATCATTACACCATCACTCCACCTCTTTGCTTGGTTAATTAGCGATAATTGAACTGAACTCCACCATAGGGACATGGACGCAGGCACTCGGTGCATTTTCTGGACTAATACTGGGCAAGAAGAGGCCACTCAATTCTCAGTACCTGTGGGAAATAAAGTCCTCTGCCTCTGAGGTCTGGTTGCAGCACGGCGACTCCATGTACTCCATCTCTTTTAACACCGGTGACATCTTCGGTCTGCTGAGCACAGAGAACTATTCGTACCACCCGAGGCAAACATTTTGCAAAGACCACGTGCTTTCTCAGTCGCTGGGCTCATCACCTGGAACGCACTCCCGATGAAGGAACTAAAGGAACATGATGTCTCTCTCTCAAAAATCAAACTTGACCTAAAACTCACCTGGTGTTACCTCGCCGCTATGCAGCGCACTTAGAGATGTTTTGACATTCTGGCGTATTCTTTAAATGTCTTTATTTGTTATTATTTCTCCCCCGCGCAGTGCGTGACCTCCCCCGCTTCGTGGTGGGCAAGAGCGAGCAGTCCGAGTCGTCCCGTCACGTGACGCCGTCGCACCACGCTCCAGAGCAACACGAGGGCGGCCCCGTGACCCCGGGTGGCAGCAGCTACTCGCGGGTCATCCCACCGCCGCCGGCACGCGCCCACCTCAAGAAGCTGGCGCCGTCACAGCCGCAGGACCCACCGGGTACCGGCACGCCGGCCAGGATGCCCTCTTTGGACCAGCAGGTACGGAGAGGGGCAGCTGATTGTGCCGGCACGTGGTGTCTTTTGTTATATTTTTTAGCATGGTTGCTGAACCACAGGCGCAAGCGCCAAAAATACCAGGCGGCCACCAACGACAAGCATGGCTGAAGGTATCATAGATACATTTTTAAACGTTTCTTAGATGGAGCGAGGTTTTTGGAGCTTGAGAAAATAAACTGTTGGAAGGAATTCCAATGCTCTCTCCTGCAAAACTTTGGAAATGCTGAGCAACGTTCAGTTCTAAAGTAAATCTAAACTGTTTTTGTTTACCAGGTAAGGCCCGCTGAGCTATATAGCTCTTTTTCAGAAGCGATCTGGCTATCACAAATGTGTAAATTTATATCGGCCAGTTCAACCCGAAAACAAATTGGATGTGCAGCTAAAACGGTGAAAAACCTGCGTAGCAACAGGAAGGGTTTGTTTTTTACTGCCGACTAATCGATTCGCCGCGTTCCCTTGTGGTCGCCCAACTCGACCAGTCCGTGTCCAAGTCTCCTCCGCAAGAGACGCCGTCGCCCGTGGTGTCCCCGCACCACTCCCCGCCGGCATCGCCCGTGGCGTGGCGCTCCGGCCAGCGGCACCCGAGCGGCGACAGAGGCCCTGCCTGGGCCCCGTACGTGGCCGAAAGACAACCAGGTGAGCTGGTGCAGTGCATTTTAATCTCGACTGAACTTAAAAGCTGAACTATTTTAAAAATTTAATATTCTTTGTGTCTTTCGGTAAAGTCACGTAGATAGAAAAAATAATAACAAACAAAGAATAAAGTTAATAACAAATAATAAAATATTATGAAAATAAGATTTTTTTTTCACCAGTAAGGCCCACTGAGCTAAATAGCTTTTTTTGCGGAAGTGAGCTCGGCGAAGTGGCTTATCACGTGGACATTTATAGCGGCCTAATACTCTAACGCACGTTGATTCAAAATTTGGAGGGAAAAACTGGAGGACCCGGAGAAAAATCCACACGACCACGGGGAGTGCATGCAGGCGTGAGGGTCGGGATCGAACCCACGACCTCCTGCATACCTGGTGAGGCAGTTAACACCTCGTCCTGTACCAGTCACTTATCCGCCCTGATCAATGGGCCACTGGCGCTCGGTGCAGGATTTGTATATGGTATGATTGTGGTTTTTTGTAGACGTTCGCAAATCTTTTCACACGCAGTCATGTGTTCTTGGTCTTACATACATTTTGTAAAGAGCACTCTCCCGTGGTTTGCTCTTCATTTGTCCAAGAACATATTTGTGTATGGTGTGACTCACATTTTATAGATGTTTACATACACTGGCAGAGCCAGTGGGGGGGGGGGGGTGGGGTGGCACGTGTCCCCCCAATGATCCCATCGAAATCCCTAATTTCGATCGGATCATTGGGGTTTATTAGTAATGAATCGGCATTTTGCGATCCTCATTATTATGTGCCAAGGACTCTATGAGATGATAGGACAATAGTCTGAGTCCATAATTGGCAATGAGTAATGGCAAAGCAGTTATAAGTGCCTCACAGAATTGTGCTCAGTTGCGTATACAGTACACGATGCTGATTACACACGGTTCGAATTCGACCCTCGATCGATGGCTGCGCCATCGCCGCACACACGTCGAATAAAAAGCAAGGGACAGGTTCTTACTTACTAACATCTCCTATAATTTTTCATTGCTGGAGGGGTTGCTGCCCCCCCTACCTGAAAATCCTGGCTCCGCCATTGCTTACATAGCCGACTTTTTCACACATCCGCCTACACCTCAGTTCCCAGCGAACTGCTTACGTGATTTTAACACGTAGGCTTTCGCCACCAATATCTCACCATTCTGGCGAATTGCCCGATGATGCTGGATGTAATTACCAGCGAAACGTCATACTCAAAAATTGTAAATGTTGTGGATTCACTCTTCAACACACCGGTGGGCTAAAGTAGTGAACTATTTGTCTTTTGTCAACGTGACACTTTTTTGCTGATTGGCCGTGTCGGGTGGTGGAGGGTTACGACACATTTATAAATAACGCGATCTAACCCAAAAACGTTTATTATGAATTATTATTATTATGCTTACGTGATATTACACTGCATGTATATTTTTTCCAACTAAGGTTGAAAGTATTCACGCATCAAACTCTGTGCATACATCTGTAGATGGGCGCAATAACTCTCGTATAGATTATATCCAGTATAAAATTGTATTGTTGTTTGGGAACTCTCTTGTGTAAAACCAGACAAATTTGCTCTTTAGGGCTCTTTTTTTCCTAATTCTGGCAGCCCTGCTGTTTGTCCACACGAAGGGCGCAGTTTTTATATATCCTGCAAAGGGTTTTGCATAGCAATAGCACAATTAATTTTTGTTAATTGTCTGAATCTCAAAGCCGGAATTTATGAAATTAAGTGAAAAATCTAATCTATTTTATGGTTGTGTTTTTGTTGGTGACCCAGCTGAAACTATCGACCCACTCCAAATGAAAACCTGATTTAGCCAGATTCTAACCAAGGCCTCTCAGCAGTGCCAGCTCAAGTGCTTTGAGAGTTCTGTCCGTCCGAGCCACCTGGCTACCTCTTATAATTATTTTACGATAAAAAGACACCGCTCGCAAACAACAGTCCTTGTAGTTGCGTCACCTAGGCTGCGTGTACCACGTTTTGACATGAGTTTGAAGCTTCTTTAATACGAAAAGAGACGCGAAATGTTGTATATCAAGTCACACACGATTTGATATCACGTTGGTACAGCTGCCATAGGTTGTAACATAATGTACCCATTGTGTGCGCACTAACACCTGTGTTGGACAGCCTGGGGGCTTGCAGCCTAGGTGTGTATCTATAGGATATGCTCTCTATTGTTTTGGGCCCAAATCTTTAACCCATATAAGAGTAAGATTTTAAATCTCTTTGGCAAGGTAGACCTAGTCTTGATGACATGACTGTCATGTGCGGCAAACCAGCCTTAGATGTGCAAATACAAATGGATATTAATGTATTTTTTTTACAATTTAATGTATAAACAGATAGTTCGAATTTATACCCGCCTGTGTCTGAATCCACATCTTTGTTCTCGGTTTCCTGTGGTATATGCGTCACTAACTTGGCACCGTGGGACATTTGAATACTCTTGTTTGTTTATTTAGGAGAGCGTCACTGAGTCTTTGTCCCTCATTTGCGTGAAAATTTTGTTTTTTTTTATATGTCCATAACTCCCATTTTGTGTGTGATAAAAAAACAATCACTTACACATTCAGTGACGCTTCTTCTTGAGTATGGCTGTGTTTGAATAGCAACGGTCGTAAATCTAGATTATTTAGCCGCGTGACAGCGTCCGTTGATGCTGATTGTAGATCTTTCTATTCTTCCATCGAAAGATGTGCAGTGATGACCTCGTTGGTGGTGTTGTGTCGTTTTTTGGGACACTGAACAGATTAACCACGTGAAGGTTGCCATCTTCAACTGGCAGTGGCACTGAAACTTTGCACAAGTATGCCAGTAATTGTCATGCTGTACTGCACACTACTCTGTGTGTGTGCGCATGCAGGGGGCGGTGTGTAGTAAACATCGCCACTAGGGGGCCGAGCGTGGTGTTGGCCACGCACCTCACCCCCTCGTGTACCGTGCCGACCTTAATTCGTGCTCGCTCACAGCACTTGCCCCAACAGTCTGTTGAGGCTATACGGGGGGGCTTTTTTGAAGGGGCAGAGCGGTACTGTAGCGGTTAGCCGCTGCGCTACGAACCTGGCAACCCGAGTTCGATTCTAGCTCACGGCCACACCAGTGATGGTTATCTGAACCGGTCCTGGGCCTCCGCTCGTTTGACTCAGTCTCGAATGAGTACCTGACAGTGTGTAACCATCGCCATTCGGGAGACAAAGATGACAGGGCGTGGTGCTGGTCACCCATCCCCTCGTATGCTGTGCCGGCCATTATAGGTGCAACTCGCTAACAGCAATTCGCCCCAACAGTCTGTTAAGGCTACATGGGAGGATCTTTGTCTTTGCAGGAGCGGAGGGTGCCTCTTGGCCGGTAGGCTCCACGCCCCCGCAGCAGGAGAACTGGGTCAGCTTTACTGACAGCGCTACGACGATGCCGGAAGGGGGGGCGGCCGTGTCAGCCACTCCCACCGCCCCCACGCACTTTGTGGCCTCGCAGGTAGAGTTCTCTTCCCCTTCACGTGGTGCCATTACCCACAGCTGCACGGCGAATGTCAGAACCAGTGGGAACTTTAGTTCGCATTTGGCAGCATGCCAGCCAAATCAAAGCGATTTCTAGCTCAAATGAGCTTTGAGGCTGTGTTCATCTCCTGTTGGCAACCCTGTGCCAGTGATGAAAATTCCTTATTTCTATGGCAGGGGTGAGTCTATCCATAGGACAACCACTGTTGACTTTCCCACAGTGGAATTAATTTTATTGACCCCCTGAGATATGATGGGCTGAGTGAAGTCCCAACCAGGCGATGTATTCCATGGGAGGTGTGGTATAAATAATGACGATGATGATAATAATGATGATGATGGTAAAGGTTTTGACGAATACATTAACAAGATTCCACACCAAAAATATGTTTAAACATGCTTCTAATTTAATGGGTGTTGGTGCGGCTGTGTGGTTAAGGGTGGATAATTCCATCATTGGAGCACTGAGTCAGCACTGCAGTGGTCCTGGGCTCAACTCAGAGCTGTCTTTCACTATTGAACCAGGTTCTCAGGTCTAGCGAGGTGATCAGGGTCAGAATCAGAATATTGATTTATCCTGGAAGAATCCGGTGAGCTATGAAGCTCTATTTCACAGATGTCCAATAGGGGCGGGTCGGCAAGTAACAACAACAAACAATACAAAACAACCGATAGGAGTGCAAAATAGAGATAAGGCAAGCAAGTCGTGAACAATAAACAAAATTGGGCAAGGCAGCAAAACAACAACAAAAACAGTCCCAGACCACACCAAGACAAAATGGCATATTAACATTGAACTATCGATACATGGGTAAAGGATCAAGGTTACAAATCACATTGACAAATTTGGTTATATCCAGCACGACAGATCTTCTGTTTCAGGATCGTCTCCAATCACCAATGACTGCATAAACATTTTTTATAACATTTTGGTCACTTAATGTGGCTTAATCCTGCTCTCTCTAGCTTAACAAAAACTTAAACATTAAAAAATGTACTTGTGTTTAATAGCGCCTTCAGTTTGTGCTAAGTATTATCTATGATTAACAGATATTTTTTAGTGCGAATTAGTTGAATATATATGATTAGTGTATGTGGCAGCTTGAAAAACCAATCGATAAGTGTCGGGTCTGAATTAATGTTAAGGATACTGTCTTGTCAGAATACATTGTTGACCGCAAATCATGCGTTCCACCCGGTAATAACTTGGCCTACAACGATTGCATTGATTCATTAATTAAAATCGATGCATTCGCTCACATTGCATGCATCAAATTGTGCACTTGATAATATCGCATTTACTATAAATAAAATGAAACGCAAGCAATATGCTACTGGAGCTTTAATGCTTACGACTCATAAAAAACATGATGAAAAGGAGAAAACAAATCCTTAACAATATTAACGAGACTGTAAAAAAATTGTGAAATTTAATTGTAATGTAAGCAAATGACATGCTATTATTATAGAGTATACAAAACAAGACAAATGACACAGAAACAGACAACAATACAAATGAGATGGTAGAGTCGTATAATCAATTTGTGACCTCCATGACAATCCCATCTCTCTCGAAAGAGAGAGGGGGTGGTCAATCCATACCTTGACATATGATGTCACAATTGAGAGATGTCTACTCCCGGTAAACATCAAACTCAGCTTATCAACGTCTGTTAATACCCCGACACATTCCACACAGACTAACTTTTTAAAATTGTACCAGGTTAGGCCCACTGAGCTATATAGCTCTTTTTCAGAAGCGACCAGACCACAAATGATAGCTCAATGAAGTGGCTTATCATGTGGAAATTTCTAGCAGCCAATACTCTAAATGCATGTTTCTAAATATGTAGAGAAAAACTGGAGAACCCAGAGATAATCCACGCAACCACAGGGAGAATATACAAACTTCAAATATACAGGCATCAGGGTCGGGATCAAACCCATGACTTATATACCAGGCGAGGTAGTTAACATCTCGCCACAAGAGTAATAGCCAAACTTCCAACAATTACAGCTATGAGAGAAGTAGAATGACCCACATGGTACAGGGTTAAATTACTGCTATTACTACAGGGGTGAGGGGGCTTTAAATATTATTCTGACCACAGGGTCGAGTCCACAACCTCCTTCATACCAGGCGAGGTAGTTAACATCTTGCCACCACGGCGCCCACACCCCATGATTTCCCCCCGTGTCTTCACGCGTGTCTTGTGAAGGATCACACTGCGACCGGGTCGGTATCGCGCGCGTCGGCGGCCGGCGGTGGCGGAGGAGGAGGCGGTGGAGGCAGCGGTGGTGGCAGCAGTGGCGGCAGCGGCAAGGAGCTGCAGCGCAGCGCCAGCTACAGCGAGGACCCGTGGCGAATCACAGAGGAACAACGCGACTACTACATCAACCAATTCAAGACGATCCAGCCCGATCTTGGCGGGCTCATTCCCGGTACGGCTGCCACCTTCACCTACAGCTGTGATGATGATAATAATAGTAATGTGGACCCACGTGTCTGTATCTCTGTAAGTACCCACGTGTCTGTATGTGTGTTGTCAATACCCATGTGTCATTGTCTACTAGCCCCACATGTCTGTACATTTGTGTCCCATCCAGTAGCCTGCTAAAAGGTTTTAGGGCACAGTGAGACCTTCCTGGATAGATGTATATACAGTATATATACTTTTCTGTTGTCCATGATATGTAATGTGACGAAGATCCTTATTTGATGTTAAAAATGGAAACGTATTGGGACTAAAAGGGTTTGCGTTCCATGATTTTTGTTCACATTGGAAGTGCATGTCAAAAGGTAATATTGCTCATGACGTGGTTTAATAATGTTGATGGATTTATTGCTGCATTTGCAGGCTCTGGTGCCAAAGAGTTCTTCACTAAATCCAAACTGCCTATAGTGGAGCTCTCTCACATATGGTGAGTAAATGTTGTCCTTGATAAAGCACCGAGTGTCTCTGCTGCTGTGCACTTTTCCCTTTCACAATGCTGGAGAGCATTACAATGTGTCAAGCTGTTACAACATTTCCTGGCAATTCTCGGTGTAAACCACTCGCACGCCAAATTAAGTAGCAATCATTACATAACCACACCTTAACAAACGTGAAAAGACATTACGTTTTGTTTAAGCTGTTGAGCGCTTAACTCAATTTGAGGATGACACGTTGTTTCTTCACTATCAAAATGGTGCACACGCTTTAGAAAGTATCCCTTAACATGATTGTAATGTGCTTGTCTCCTTGTTAGTGTTAGATTTGAAGCTTTCGTGACTGCAAGGATTCATACTCTTAGGCTTTTTCGGTAAAGTCACGTAGGTAAAAATAATAATAATGAAGTAAAATAATTATATATGAAAATAACTAAATTAAATCAATTTAATTTAATTTAGTTATTTTCATTTTTTTTACCTACTTGACTTTACCGAAAAAACCTAAGAGTATGAATCCTTGTTAGTGTTTTTTGAGACGCAGTAAAATGTAGTTACTTTCTAATTGCAAACAATGCGTGTTATTGTTATTGCACAAATGCACAATGATGGAGTTAACCTTCATGTTTCTCTTCATTGGTCCATCCATGCTGGGGGATTCGGTCTACTAGACTGACTGCTTTGTCTCGTCACCCCACCGCAGGCCACAATAACTTTTCATTATGCTTCTTTACTTCACTCTTTTGCACTTTCAGCTTCTCTTCCGTTTTCTCTTTTTTTCTTCCAAAGTTCGTATAACCTTGCTCTATTCAAGGAATGCATTACAGTCAGGGAAAAAAGTATTTGATCCCCTGCTGATTCTGTACGTTTGCCCACTGACAAAGTAATGATCAGTCTATAATTTTAATGGTAGGTTTATTTGAACAGTGAGAGACAGAATAACAACAACAAAATCCAGAAAAACGCATGTTAAAAATGTTATAAATTGATTTGCATTTTAATGAGGGAAATAAGTATTTGACCCCTCTGCAAAACATGACTTAGTACTTGGTGGCAAAACCCTTGTTGGCAATCACAGAGGTCAGACGTTTCTTGTAGTTGGCCACCAGGTTTGCACACATCTCACTCACTGTACGTCTCGTCTTTTATGCCTTCAGCAGTGCCGTTTTTGATGCCTTTGCTCAGCAACCAAGATTTTAAAACATTTTCGTAGACAGTCAGGAAGACGCGGTTGTGGTTGGGTGGGGTACATATACAGGAAGGAGGCGGGCAGATTTTCACGTTTGCGACCAGACCTAAAGTCAGTAGGTGCAATACTGTCACGGATACTCTGGCAGTTGTCAGCTGTGCAATAGCTACGGAATGCTGCGGAAATAAGAAAGCACTGCCATGGGCGCGGTGAAATCACATGGGGCCGTGATGGCCTCTGTAGTCACTGCTGCTTTGATGCTTACTTCAGCTGCTGACTGGCAGCCCGGGGCAGATTATCTATGTCGCGGATTAAACCGTACTTACGAGCTAATTTCTTTTTTCCCTGCACGTGAGGTACTTCTATTATTAGCTGCTCCTCACTCATCAAAGAGTGGCGATTCGGTGCCCACTTGACCGCAAACGTTTCACCAAGTAAATGCATTAATTAAGAAGCAACAATAACAGATAACACTGGTCAACAAAAAAAAAACTTTTTTTCTGGCCTGGACTTTTGCAGCTGTTTTTACCCGAAATTAACTCTGTCACTTATGATTGCAAGTTGTTGCGAGTCAGTGACTGCTTTAGTGTTAAAATATGGTGCTGTATTTTTAGGATAGTGTGTTTATACAATCATTTTATGTAGATATCCACATTTATTTAATATTTTTCTTCTGCAGTTTTTATTGAAAATGCAATATTTGATATCTCAAAAACCTGATGTGATAGACAAAAACTAATGCCAGATTTGGAATCAGCACCCCAAAATTACATTAAAACCGTTGGAATACCTTATGCCAGAAAAAGTGCATCTTCACCATTATACGTAGGTGCACATATATTATCCGTTGTTTGTTTTATCGGGGGGGCCACCATTACGCCCGTCTCATCGAGAGTCAACCGTTCTGCTGGTTGCTTGCGCTCCCTTTCGGTTTCCACCGCCCCTCCCAGGGAGCTGTCGGACTTCGACCAGGACGGGGCGCTGACGCTGGACGAGTTCTGCGCTGCCTTCCACCTCGTCGTGGCTCGCAAGAACGGATACGAACTGCCCGAGAAGCTCCCCGAGAGCCTCGTGCCCAAGCTCATTGACATCGACGATGCCACTCGTACGTACGCCTGCTCGCCCTCTCGCTCGCCCGCTCGCCCTCTTGCTCGCACTTTGGCTCGCCCGCTCGTCCTCTCTCCCCCTTTTGCCTACATCTTTAAAAGTGAGTCCTAGAAATAATGTGGCCAGATGTCCTGTGTCCCCCATATTAGAAGGTTTATTAAAAACATTATTTCTTTGTGACCCAGAAATATGTAAAGAAGTTGGGAAACTTTTTCTCCAGTGTATTTTCGGGTTGTTCCGCACGTTGTTTGGCATGATGTCCGACATTTCACTCCGCACGCTGGGAGCTTCTTGTGGACATGAATCGAACACGTGGAGCGAGACGTGTGGGTTATTTGTAATCTGACCCAATAACCACAGGAACCATTCGCTAAGCAGAATACACCCCCCGCCCCTCTCACTGACTCGCGACATTTGTACTGTGGCTGTGTCCCTGCTGTCGTAAGCACGATGGGGTCCAGTCCGGCCACCCTAACGTTCCGACGTTCCCGCCTCTGTTCACAGACGTGCCAAACCCCATTGCCGAGGCGTCGTTCACGAGCTCCCCCGTCGAGGCAGCGACGAGCAAATCGCCGTCACTCAACCAGGCATGGAGCGACCTCCACCAGAACAGCGAGGTGAGGCTCGATGGCCACCATTAAAAGCCCACTCGCAGATTTTCCCACTTTTGCAATCGCAGACTTCTGGCAATCACCACTGTTAACTCCTGCCGCCCGTTTCCTTTTTTTGTAACAATGCAGGAGCCTCGCCGCGAGGGGGCCTCCTTGCTCACGATTCTGTCGCGCTCACGATGAATCGATTGACCTTAATTCGCTCGTTAATTCACGGCCACCGGCCGCATTAATTTGACCCCTTTTTGTTTTTTGTGTCGTTTTTCACTTGCCACTGACTCTGCATGTCACTTGCTGTGCTTAATGAGTGCGGGGGCTTTGGGGCGGGGGGCTAGCGAAGGCGGTGCTGCTGGGGCGCCAGCAGAGGGGATCGTTGCGTCCGTTTGTGCACTCGGCAGCGCGGAAGTATGCGCACGCGCCTTGGCGACCCGCTTGTCCCTCCCCCCTCTGCTTTCTTTGCCCACCGCTTAACCACCTTCATCTCTCGTCAAATTAAGCCTCAGTCCCACACGTGCGCACGAGGTTGAGCTGGCGGCTCCCGTGACATGGTTTGGCGAGTTCCGGTATCTAATTCAATATCTTGGATTTTGGGTGCTTTTTGGGGTGGGGGGACGACACACTGGACCATAGAGGATCCACATGGCGATGCTGCAGTTGTCGTTTTGTTGATGTCGTTTTAACGCCGCGATTGGCTTTGGATTTACAGCTTTTGTCAATCCACTCCAGATTGTCGTGGTGGGGTCATTCTATCATACTCCATGCTGGTCAGTGGTGGTTAGTGAAGGGAGCACCCAGGACTGGTTCAGATATCACTCCGCCCCCCGTGATGTTAGCTTTGGCCAGCAATCGAAATCAGCTCGGCAAGTTTCAGAGCACGGTGCACTCAGCACCGTGCCACCGCTCTACCCTTTGGCACAGTCCCCACTTGTGCAGACTGAAACAACCAAATAAACTGATCCTGCGTATGTATTGACTTGTTGCAACTCCATTCAAGACCAACGTCAGACTCTTTCTGTACTCTTTGTAGTGTTTGACGGTATTCTCTTTGTGGTACTTATAAGTGGTGATATAAATTCTGCGTTGCTATGGCAAATCTCATTGTACTTAAATAGCAGTGGCTCAATTAGGCCGCCGCAATAAACAGCGCGAGCAGTGAGTGTAATTATCTCGAGGAGGCAGGGTTAACTTCGGCACACGATTATTGTGGCGGCATCACCAAAGGCATTCTCACCGGCGTTTGGAGCCCATTACGATTTCTCACTCGCTATATCTGTGCTATTCCTCACTATCTTATCTTGCCCCTTCTCTGTCTCAGTTCACTTTGCCAAGCCGCTCTTTCATCCCATTGTCATTTCCTCTCGTCTCTCTTTCGCTGTTAGACGTCTACTCGTTTGTCTGTCGTCCTGTATCCTTTTAACATTCCGTTTGGTTTCCCTTTATCTTATCGGCCGGTCCCTCCGCTCCTCCCTCACTCCCGGCGGGCGCGCGCGCCGCGTCGTTGTGTGCCCCCCTGTGTGTGTCTGCAGCAGTGGGAAACGTTCAGTGATCGCTCTTCAAGCTGCCAGACTCTCACTCAGTTTGACTCTAACATCGCGCCGGCCGATCCTGTAAGTCTGCCGTACTCAAATCGCCACCTTTTGCGTCACGCCATCTCCCGCTCCTTCCGCCCTCCTGTATTTCTCTCCCCCCCACGACGTGGCCAATGCCACTGTTGCCCCGCTCCTCACCCCACCGCTTGCGCTGCCCCTCGTTAGCATTGCCACGTCAACGTCGAGCTTTTTTGCACGGAGGCGGAAGCAACCCGCCCGCATTCGTAAGCGGGGAACGCGTGAAAGCGCGAGGCCATTGCGCTCGGCAAACGCTGCGGCCTGCCGATCAACGCGGGAACGTCTCGCCGTGAACCGCGCTGCTTGTTTAAACTGACTGGAACATCTGTGAACAAGAGCTTCGAAGCTCATCGGATTTCTCCAGGATAAATAAAGATTTAAAAAAACTCGAGCGCGTGCGGGAGAGCTTTGCGTGGCTGTGCATGCGTGTGCCGCTCACCTGCTTAGCTTGGCTTTCTTGCGCAATTTAACCCCGCTCTCTGTGCTACTGTGAGTTATGAATGTCAGCATGACAATTCTCTTTTTGTTTTGGTTTTGCAGGCAACTAAGTTGGCACAGAGAGCAAAACCTGCACGAGTTTCTGACATGTGTTTGCCTTCTCCAAAAGCATGGCCGGCTTAAATCTGTGGATGTTCCTTTTGTTGGACGGTTTATAATTTTTGGCAGATTTTAAAATGTGTTCATTCAGATTTAAGTGCACATGTTATATTACTCAAGCCTGTTATGACAAATCGTTAAGCACTTCCACAGATTTATAAAAGGACTTGCGCGTTGGACTGCCAAATAATAAAATCATTTCCACTGTACCTTACGTATTTCACTTGAATGCGAATTAATTTTGCTCGTACATTTGCCTGCTTAACCATGATAATTATTTAACTTTATACGACATTTACACAATTATTTTATAGTCAGAATTCTAAATAAATATGTAAAAAAAACGCAATAGAACACAAAAAATATAAATGTATGGAATGATTTACGTTTTTATATGGGTGCAACGGTGGCGAGATGTTAGCTACCACGCCTAGTATACAGGAGGTTGTGGGTTCGATCGCGACCCTGATGCCTGCTGTATATTTGGAGTTTGCGTGTCTCTCTCCCCGTGGATGCGTGGATTTTTCTCCGGGTCCCATCCACATTTAGAAATAACACGCATTTATAGTTTTTGGCTGCTATCAATTTGCACGTGATAATCCACTTTGTTGTAGGCAGGTTGCTTCTGAAAAAAATAGCTATATCGCTCAAGTGAACCTTACCTGGTGAAAGTAAAAATAAAATAAGTGTTTTGTTGACACCTTGGCTCATGTTGGCCGGCATCTTTGTGGCTGCCAGTCTGCAGTAATCAGCTGTTTTGGCAGACCCTACCAGGTGCCTGTGATAGCCAGAAAGCGGCCCGTGCTACAAGTCAAGGCACACCAAGAAGGGCGTTAACCGACATTACTTTTCACCACCCTCTTCCCAGTTTCCCCAGCGACTGTCGGTCACGTTTACACTCATGAGCGGCTTTGTTTTGTCTCGGCGATGCTCCAAAGACTGTGCATGATTAATGTGACTGGGTGGGTCTGCTGTCAAGTGATTGTCAAAACCGGAACACTGGGTTTATACCCCAACATAGAGTTTCTATGACAAAATAAACACATTTAATTTGGCTATACTGTCTGCCTTAGCTGTTAAACATGATTGGGCTTAACAGGACCATTATTTTGATTGCATTCTTGTGAGTGCAATATTGTTTGAAATGTTCCCCATAACTTTTTATTTTGGAAAACCAGACAACGTTGCGTTCAAGCATCGCTGCAGTCCATGCACTGAAATTATTGCGCCCATTAAAATGACTCGTTGCAAGGTGATCTTGTTAAAACTGCTCTTGCAAAGCCGGGTAAAGACGTACCATCAATCAACCTTCCTCCTCCACCCTGAGACCACAGTCCAGTGACCCCGCAGACGACTCTTAATGAGCAAGAACGAACCAGAACTGCACAGTGTCCTCCCCACCCCCATCCACCCCCCCCAATCCCCCATCACGGTGAATGGCTCAATCGCTGGCCTCTGCGTCTGTCCGTCTCTGGGCACGTTGAGAAGCGTGGTGACCGCGTGGTTGCGTGCATTGGGCAGGAGACGGCAATCGTCCACCCGGTGGCCATCCGCATGACGCCCAGCAAAATCCACATGCAGGAGATGCACATCAACAGGGCCACGCCAGGTACGCACGCTTGGCATCGATGGCCACGGCGACGAGATGGTGCGGATCTGCGGTTGCGTTGCGTGGCTCTGCGCACTTAACCCCTTTCCCGTTCCGATGACATAAGTGTACATCATCAGTTTTTCTTCCGATTCTGTTCCGATGACGTACGTGTACGGATCGGAACCGGAAGAATAACTAAAATAAAATAACTTTATATGTGCCGAGGCTCCCACAAAGCCATGCGCGTGGCACAGTTTGGCGCAAGCTATCATTGAGTTCGGTCGTGTCGCTACAATTCTTTGTGGTGAGTTAAATGTCTTTAAAAACAACGGTGCTATGCCTCTCTATATAGAATTAACGATGAGCCACTTGCACGTTTCGAGATTTCGTGGTGAACAGGACACCCACCGTGTAACTTGCAGACGTCTCGGAAGGGCAAAGGGTTAACGTTTTGTTTCACTTGGTTTTGTTTCTCTTTTAAAGCTTTTGCTTTGATGTCCTGCTTCTGACATCGTGCGTGAGTCCAAGTTATTTCCACTTGGAAAATTCCAAGTGGTATTTAAATTACCTCTCGTTTTTGTATCCGCAAAGATTATCCTGCAAATGTTGTGCTTCTTGGACTAATGGCCAACAGATCGAATTTGGCCCCTAACGGAAGTAATGGTTCTCACTGAGACAAAGAGATACTTGGTGAGATAAAATAAAATAGAAAGAGATGGAGATTCTCAAGAGAACTCGCATCCAGATATTATGGCGCTACGGCATCGTACGATTTCATAACGTATATCACGTGGCCTGCCAGCACACACCAAGTTTATTATGGCCTGTTAGAAGATATCGAAGTAGAACCGTCATTGACTGCATATAAAATCGTGTATTCATAATGCAGGATTTGATGATGAGTGTCAACAAGGTGTCTTCGCGACTCACCGCCTCCTCGCGATTTGATGACCTGTCCTGATTCAGCGTGGTCACAATTCAATAATCTTTATTTGCAGTGCATGTAGTTAATAGTGGCTTCGGGGTTCTTCCACAAACCCATCGCATGCAAATTATGCAAATAAAATAAAACATGATTCTCGTACGCGCAATTCGACGCATGTATCACAACCTGTTTTCGTCGGTAAACTCAACGCATCATTTCCTCTCTGTGTGCCTCGCCAGCTTAAGCTGCTTGAGGTATCATTTATCGCCTTATTTTTTTTGTCCGTGTTCAGCAGAGATGGGCACGCCGGTGAGCCAGCCACACCCCACGCCGTCGAGAGCCACGGAGCAGCCATCCGCCACTAAATTTTCCGTGGCAAAAAGCGTCGGTACGGTGCGCACACATTCCCCTTGCTCCTTAAACATCCTCCCCCCGCTGTTGTTACGCTTCGAACGAGGTGCTCTACAATGCCAAGCCCCTGTGCTACCGCAGTTTATCTTCTGTCCCTCCCTTGTGTGCAACAGATGGTTTCCATAGCTCCGAGTCGTCCGTTTCGTCAGATGCGGAAGCTTACGGCGCCGGCTTCTCAAGGCCAAGGCAAGTAAACACGACCAGCGAAAGAGTCGCCCTCCCATTGCACCTTTCACCAAAGCGGCGTGATTTGTAAATAGCCACAAATAGCCACGAAGGGCGCGTGATTTATATTTTGAGACGTGACATTATCGCACAGAGGCTGTTGGATTTAGGCAATCATCGGAGTAATAATTATCGGTGTCGTTACCAGTGGGGGGGGAGGGGGGTTTTTCCCCAGAATTCTGCGCCGCTGAAGTTGCGTTTCACGTTGGCACGTGTGCCGTGTTTGTGTGCAGGTCGTTCTCGGGCACCTCCGTGGACGATTCGCTAAAGAAGCAGGTGGCGCCACCCCCACCACCCCCACCGAGGCCCAACCAGAGCCACTCGCGCTCCTCCTCCCTCGACCTCAACAAAGTGTTCCAGCCGCCCGCACAGGGTGAGCCTGCTTCTAGATTTGAAGTTGTTGTGACTGCAAGGATTCATACTCTTTGGTTTTTTCCGGTAAAGTCACGTAGGTAACAAATTTAAATATTAAAATAAATTAACTCGTGACGTTTCGGAAGCAACACAAGCCTCCGTCATCAGGTGTAACTGCTCCAGTAAAATTGCTGTAGCGTATGAAGAGAGCTATTCAGTAGGGTGAGCTTGCGTTCACCCCCCCCTCGTTACCCCCTGTGACCTGCCTGATATAACGTTGTTGGAAGAACCCTGACGCAGGCTACATGGCGTAACCGTACGAGTGCTCGCTTGCTCATGCCGCCGCTGGTGAAAGGGCCTCCACTAGAGGGAGCTCTAGAGGGCGTTTGATCTTCCTTTCCATGCTGACGAGACGTCTTGGAAAGGAGTCGACGTACCGACACTACTGCATCCCACAACTTCGATTAGCACGGTTGGCTATGTACGGTGCGAAAGAAGTTCATCATCCATACACATACGATCAACTAACTGGTGGTGTACACATTTATACTGCTGGGTGGAGGGAGGCGCATGGTGGATTTGAGACACTTGTACCTTTTAACTGCCGCTCCGGGCGAATGAACCGATGACCTTTCTGGATCGCAAGTGCATCCTGGAGCGGTGTACACATTTAGAGATGTAGGGTACAATCGACTCGTGCGTGGCTGCCACTTAACTGTCGTGTATAATTACAGGCCAGCAGACCTCCGGCCAGCAGCCTGCGCCACCTCCTGCAGTGCCACCCCGGCCACATCCTCAGGTACCCGCACATTTCCGCTGGGCACATCCGCCTCGGTGGCACGATGACCGGCCTTGCCGTGTAACCGTACATTTTCGGAATGTGTTTTGGATTTGAATTTTTATCAGATCCGTGCTTAAGGCTTTGTTTTTAGGTCCAATGTTATACTTTGTTATATTTTCACATTTAAATTGTTTTAGTAAAATTTTGATTTAAAGCTTTTGTGATTGCAGGGATTCATATTCTTGGTTCTTTCGGTAAAGTCACGTAGAAGGGAAATAATAAAATAATAAAAATCTAAAACAATAAAAATTCTCACGACGTTTCGACTGCAACACAAGCAATCACCCTGATGATGATGTTTTAGTAACTTGAATCGTTTATACACTAAATATGACCGTTTTAATACGTTTCAATAATAAGTGAATTTCGGTTTCCAACAGTAAATCTGAACACTTGCGTTATCCTAATAAATTTAAATAAAGGTGATGTCGCGTCTTGGTACTTTTGGCGGGAAAAGCATGGAAGTGACACCACAGGAAGTGACATCACAGGAAGCGGTGTTTCAAATTCATCTGCTGCTGTGATGTCACTAGAAGTGATCGATTTAAAAAAACATTCTTTGGGCTAACCCAACATTTAAACCTAAGCCCAATTTTCATTTTTTGGGACTCATCCGAAGATCAGAACACAGCCCTGAGCAGAAGAACTACCATGGTCCTTGGCAGTGACCAACCGACCGTGGGTGTGCCGTGTACCGTGTGCCGGTTCCGGTTCAGGCGCTGCAGACATCCCGCTCCATCGACGGCGCCGACATGGTTCCCGGCGCGTCCGGAGTGCCGCTGCTGTCGCCGCCCATCTCCGAGCAGCCCAACTTTGCCGACTTCACGCACTTCGGAGCGCTGCACGCGGTGCCCGAGGTTGACCGAGCCACGGGGGACACGCCGGACCCGCAGGCGCCCGCGCCGGTGAGCGGCAGCGGTGGCGCCGGACTGGCGCTCGGCACGCTGAAAGCCCAAGAAACAACCGGGGCGGGAGTTAGCGGGGGGGTGGGGGCATTCATGGAGTACGTCAAGTATCGGCCCAAATTGGAATCTGGATAAATGCGAGCGGCTATTTAACGCACTAAAATTTTACACGCGACGTTCAGGCCTTCTGAAAGGCTCTTATAATTTAGTTGATGGACAAACAAAACGCCGGGCTTTTATAATATTGATGCTCATGAAAAAACTTACAATCCATCACTTCATTGGCTGGAAATGTCCAAGTTGCTGGATACAATTTAGTTTGATTACAGTTAAACTTAACTGGAAACTCAATAATCACTAGTGGGTAATATCCATTAGACTTTCATGCATGTGAATGATTAGAAATGTATTGGTTTATTCCAAGTGATTTCAGGTGAACTCCTGTGTAACGATATTTGTGTTTTTTTATGTGCTTAATTCTGCATTTATTGTTAATAATATTATTGCACTTGTTTAAAAATGAAAACATTTACTGAGGTTTCAAGACTGGTTTTATGGAGGGTTTTGCTCAATGTTGCATTCAGGTGGTGTAGATTGATGCGTCTGTCGCAACAAAGTTAATTTGTTGACTTAATTTGACATCTAAAATACTTTTTTTAATTCATTCACAGGTCGAAAAGGCGCCAGTGAAAACAGAAAGCCGCGTCGAGGAAAAGACCGTGACGAACAACAAGGTTACACTTTTAACATTCCCACTTGATGGTGTAGTTTATTTATCTGAATTATCCTCGGTAATGTGCGGGTGGCGCAGCCCATCAAATAAAAACAAATACAGTAAAACCTTCGATTGCTAGTAACATGGTCTGCAAGTGTTTTGCAAGACGAGCAAAATTTTTGAATGAATATTAATTTGATAAACGAGCGAGGTCTTGCAACGCGAGTAGTACGTGTATACGCTTTTTATGCCGAGCGTCACGTGATCACAACTGATATACGAGTGCTTTGGATTACAAACACGTTTCCGGAACGAATTATGCTCGCAATCCAAGGTTTTACTGTAACATAAATATCACATCACATAATTAATAATGGTTGCAACTTGTAACGCGCACAGTGTTCGCTCACTCTCGTACAGAGAGAGCGACTCAGAGGAGTGAGGTACCACAGACAAGCGGGAAGGCAGCTGCGCAATGTGCCTGCGCCAGTACATTCAACCAAAACTATTAACTTATTTTTATTGTCTATCATAAACTATAAACTATTTATATTTTACCAGGATAATGCCCCATGAGCTTTTTATTGGTCTTTTTTAGAAGCGACCTGGCCACAAATGATAGCTCAACAAAGTGGCTCATCATATGGAAATTCATAGCAGCCAAATACTCTCCAACGCACGTTTCTAAATCGAGAGGGGAAAACCGCAGTGCTCGGAGAAAAATACACGCGACCACGGGGAGAACATACAAACTCCAAATATACAGCAGGCGTCTAGGGGCGGGATTGAACCTGTGACCTCCTGTATACCAGGCGAGGTAGTTAACATCATCCAGTATGTACTTCTATTCTCATACATCCGTGCTCCCCGTCTTCACTAACCTGTACTAACCTGCGTGGTGAAGTATGGAAAAATCACTCTTGGTGACCCGCGCAGGCATCGCGAGACCCCTCTTCTTCCGCTAGTCGGATCGACACGCACAAGCTCCACGATAAAAAGCCCAACGACTCGCTCGGCCACGACGTTTTCGTGGCACTAACGACTGCTGCCTCCGTGTCGCGCAGATACAGCAGAGGTCGACGTCGCCAGCGCAGCCGGCACCCAAGAAGCCATCGCGGCGGCAGCTCAAGTCGGACGAGGAGACCGTCGCCGCCCCCCCGCCGCCACCGCCGCCGCCGCCGCCGCAAGAAGAACCCCTGCGCAAGCCGGGAGGCATCGCCGCCCTCGGCGCCACCCAGCCCTCGCTGCAGAGGTGAGAGCGGCGTCTCGTCGGGCGATGGTATTTTGTTCCCCCGGCAAAAATTCTGACCCTGAGGTCGGAATGATATATAATAACCACCCACCCCTGTAGTAAGAGCAGTACTTTTAACCTGTGCCCAGTGTGGGTCATTCTACTTCTTCTTCTCTCATAGCTGTAATTATGTTGGGAGTTTGCCTGTTACTCTTGTGGCCAGATGTTGACTACTTCGCCTGGTATACAGGAGGGCATGGGTTCGATTCCGATCGTGACGTCAATATATTTGGAGTTTGCGTGTTCTCTCACCCTGTGGTCACGTGGATTTTTTCTTCGTTTCCGCCGGTTTTTTCCCTCCACATTTAGAAACTATGCGATTAGAGTATTTGGCTGCTATGCATTTCCACGTGATGAGCCACTTCGTTGAGTTATCGTTTATGGCCTGGTCGCTTCTGAAAACGAGCATCATAGCTCAGTGGGCCTTACCTGGTCAAATACATTTTTTTATTGTTTTTATATAGACAAAAATGTTAATGGTTGTAAGACATATTGAGTGGACACCTTAACTCCGTAGAGTTTTCTGACCCCCCCAGCAGGGGTAGAGGATTGTAACATTCACACCCGGATTCAAGTAACACGTAAAAAAACATTCGACACATTGGGCCATGGTTTCAAAATCAATTCTCTCACGACGCAACGTGTCGAATGGTGCACTTAACAATCTGCAGTTTGATGTGCGAATGACACTATCATCGTAGGCCAATGATGCACTGTGGCCGCCCATCCATTCGTTATCCAGGCTCAAGCCTGCTTAGTGCGCGAGATCTGACAATTTTGGGCACCTTTCCGGGTGATTTGATCGTCTGGTCATGAGCAATTGTATCACAGAAAACGATTTAACTTTTGACCTTGTTTGGCTGTTCGTCTGTGGTCCTACGTACATGCTCCCCGATTTCACCAACCAGGGTTGTGAAATATGGTAATAATGGTCAAATAACCTCCAAGATCCGTAGAGCATAGGGGAGGCCCTTATCCAGCAGTGGCTTGACAAAGGGGCAGTACATATACACGTTCATGATTCATTCATGCAAATTGGAGCAGACAAAACCGTCGCAATGTGACAGAACAAAATGAACATGCAAACGATGACACATTTTTTTAATCGAATCATGGCCATAAATTGTGACAATCCATTGAGTCCTCCCCGAGGGGGTGGTGTTGGGGAGGGGGCGGAACAGTTACATGGCCAGCAGACACCAGCGTGCGGCTTGGTCCACTCCGCTTCGCCTCTAGGCTGTGCGTACGCGGTGCTACGCGTGCATTCAATTAGAATTCTGTATTGGGGACCACGCGCCGGAGGCTGCAGCAATGGGAGTCGTTTTTGATCACTCGCAGACGCTAATGATTTGCACCGCACGCGTGGTCGAGAAATGGGGAAAACGTTTCTCGGAAAATCGCGGCGACGTTCGTTAGCGAACGATCCGTGTGCGCTTTAATTGGGCGGCCTCGTTGCGCAAAGGTCGGCGAGCGATTCCAGCTGAATGCGTGACGAGCCTGGGCCGCGCCGTCAAGGGAAATATAGATTATTTTGCAGCTATAAATTTCCACGTGATAAGCCGCTTTGTTGAGCTATTATTTGTGGCCATGTTGCTTCTGAAAAGTAAGTTAATACCTCGGTGAGCTTCACCTGGTGAGATAAAAATAATTTAGTTTTTTTTGTTAAAGTGATGTGTTTACATACTCTTTGTTTTTTTCGGTAAAGTCACGTAGGTTAAAAAGAAAACATAAATTTAATCACGACATTTCGGAGGCAACACAAGCCTCCGTCTTCAGGTGGAACCGTCACAGCAAAATTACTGTATCAAGTGTGTTTACCTTTCCTATACTTTGCGCTCATATCGTGTTTTACGTATTGTTTTGTTGTAATGTACTGACCCCGTGCCCCTTACTTGACATCTGTGAAAAAGAGCTTCATAGCTCATCGCATTCCTCCTGCAGACTAAATAGAGATTCTCATTCTGATAACTAACGCTTTCGGCGCCGTCACGGGGGGTGCTCTGCGCTGCCGCCGCAGGTCGGTGGGAAACGAGAAAAAAGTGATCCAAGCGTCGATCCGCAAAAACAAGGAGACCAACACCGTCTTGGCTCGGCTCAACAGCGAGCTGCAGCAACAACTCAAGGTTCGTTTCCTTGGGGCGGATGAAGTGCCTTGTTGACATCCCAAATGTCACGTTTGCGTGTATGTACGTACATTGAACTTTTTTTCGCACCTTACGTAGTCAACCGTGCTAATCGGAGGTGTCGGGGTGAAGGACAACCAACTGAACACACACAAAATGCACACAAGCGCAACACTCTGTTGTTTCCACGTATGAATAAATATTGGTTTTGATTGATTGACTTTCGTGACCTGTGTTATCCAGCTACTTTCGTTTGAAGCGAGAAAACGCTGACCCCGTTTTGACATTGTAGTTCTCATCAGCAGAGTCAGGCCCCGCCCACTGATGAAACCCAGATGGGCCAGTAGGCTAAAAAAAAAATTACATTTTTAATATGTGGAGACAGAACGGAGTTATTTTTATTATGTGTGTTGCGGATCATGAGGTGCTTCTAAACACAAAGTCCTACCCCGATATTTGTGCCCAGTGTCAATAAAGTTATATCAACCTGGCCACTCACAACCATACGTACCGGGTTATAAGATGCACCCCAAATTTTGTTTTTTAAATACAGAGGGGAAAAAAAGTCTCATTCGGAGATTATGGTTAATGCTTTTGCCCATAATGCTTCAACCACACGTAATGACTTTGTGTACAGTGTCACGTATCAGCTGTTATTGTATTTTCAGTCCCGCAAAGCCTCACATGCCACAGGGCGGTCACTTTGATACATCGGCGGTAACAATGAATACAATAACCGTAAAGCCGAGTGAACAAAGTTCCTCTGCGCAAGGGGATTGCGAGAGGATCGTCCGAGAGATGCTTTTTGTGTCCGCTGCGCCAAACGCCCGGCAGGCCGCGTCTTGTGGCGAGCACCGCCGGCGATCAAAGGCGGCAGCGCGATTGATTGTGGTTGGGCGCGTGCGTAGCAGAGGTCTCATTTCAATATTGATTCGGGCATTGGCCACGGACCAAAAAATAACTGCTCTCTTTAGATTGGCCGTTTTTTTTGTTTTGGTGAATTTGATATGTTTACCACGGGTAGAACAATTCATCCTCCTGCCAATTTGATGAAGTGGTGTGACTTACAGGTCACGATTGAATTCAATAATCTATTCTGGGTTTTTTTTGTTTTACCATCGCGGTGAATGGTAGTGCCTCCAGTGAACCCATAGCATTAGTTTTTACACGTGAGAATCCAATGCATGTAGTATGATACTTATATTTATTGGTGAAGTATTTCACCCGGAATATATACCAAGGGAGAGTCTTACCGAATCTTATTTTCTCTGAAAGAGGGTCACACTTGAGATGGAATTTTCTTTATTCTGGACATAAAATAATGGTCGTGCATGTTAACAAGAGAGAATATGTCCAAGAATAAGACCACTGGGCAGATGGATCATTGAGATTATTGTGCAGGAGTGAGATGGCTGGCACTGGACCGTGAGAGATCGTGACGGCATGTGGAGGCCTTCCTTCAGTAGTCGGTAGACATCGGCTAATAACGACGATGATGATGATGTTCAAAGCACCTTCTGGTGTTCTTAAAATCCCGGTGATGTTTTTTAACATGAAAGTGCCTATCGTGTGTATGTGCGTGTGTTTGTGCATGTGTTTGGGGAGCGGTGGCGTAGCGGTTAGCGCTCTGCGCTACGGACCTGGCGACCCGAGTTCGATTCCTGCTCACGGCCAACACTAGTGACGATAATCTGAACTGGTCCTGGGCCTCCCCTAGGCCGATTCGTCCTCAAATGAGTGCCTGGTGCAGTGTGAAAACATTGCCACTAGGGAGACAAAGGCGGCCGGGCGTGGTGCTGGCCACCCACCCCCTCGTGTGCCGTGTCGGGCCTTCATTGGTGCTGGCGGGCAGCACTTGCCCCACGAGCCGATAATACGGGGGATCTTTGTCTTTTGTGTTTGTTTCGCTTGCAGGATCTGCTCGAAGAAAGGATTGCACTCGAAGCGCAGCTGGAGCAACTCCGTCCATTCTCGCACACGTAGCTACATCGGTCGCGCCCCAGACGGTGGGGGAAGTGGGTGGGGGGGGCAAAGGAGGAGCCGGGAGGGGCTGGCGGGGAGGGGGGGGGACACGCACTTAAAGAACTTTAAAGAATGCTCATTCGCTGAGCGCGTCATCTGGTTCATTGAATGCCCCTACAAAGAAGAAGAAAGGACTTGTTTAACAAACAAAAAACACTTGCTACCTTAAGATGAGAATGTCTTGAAGATAACTGTGGCTAAGCGAAGGAAGTTGCTTTTTCTCTGCAAAGTGTTTTTGTTTTCCGGGATGACACATTGGGCAGCAAAGAAAGCCCATGAAGATGTTTTTTTTCCACGCCAAAGTTTTGCCAAAACGTCACTTTGTTCAGCGGCACGTTAGCATGCCACTAGCCAATTGCCATGAGACTATCAGTCGTAAAAAAAAAAAACTCACCAGAGCACACGCAGGCGCTGATTTGGCCAAAAAGACTGCCGCAAGCGGTTACCGAGACTTTGTTGGCGCAGGCGATTTGTCGAGGTTGTGGCACGCGAGGAATTATTTTGTACATTATCTAAGTTGCTGAAGAGAGGTTAATGAAATCTGCGATGTGATGGAGTTTTATCGCAGTTCCTGTCCCTTGGGCTTTGGCTGAGCCGACTCGATACTGGCTTCTCTAACCTGTGCCTTGACTGCCGCCGTCTACAAAACAGCACTGCTGCTACTGCTGTTGTTGCTGCTGCTGCTGCTGGTCAAACAGTCATCGGAACCTAGCCCAAGCCAGTCGACCCCAGCCTGGTCAAGTCCAGCCCAGCTTTAAGTCAAGCCTGGATGCACAACCCCCTTTGCCCTACCTTGCCCGGTCCTGCCTTGCCCTTTTCCTGCCCTGCCCATGACAGGTCAAGGAATTGTCTCGAGTCTTTGCCGACTAACCACAACAACCATTTTAGCACCGACTTGTTGACACAACGAGGATTGGGAGCGGTTGGATTTTAAAAACAAAAACTGTTTTTCTTCAGAACGTTTTTTTTTCTTCTTTATTGAATAAGAGCGAAGACAGGAATGGCCTCTTTTTGAATATAAATGTTACAGTGCTTATGCAAGTGCCTATTAGTGCTTCTGATTGTAGGCAACGGGTATTTGCGAAAGTTTTGAACAAACGGTGCGTGTTGCGAAACCGCAAAGAGGGCACGCGTGCGTGCGTGAATTCTGCCACCGACAGCAGCTGCTGGCGCGACGATAGATTTCTTTTTCTGGGTGAAAAGCGGGACTCGAGGATTCCACCGCACGCTTGCAAACGGCAAAGACAGCAGGAAGACGCCACGCATACTCGGTGGGGGCACGTCAAAGGGGTCCCAGCAGCGGAAGAAGAAACCCCTAAGAATACCGTGGTTCATCCGAGCATTTGCTGAGAGCTTTTGGGGGCGGGGGGGGGGGGAAATTGCAATCGTTTGCAGCAGCAGGCCCAGGCCTTCGTAGAGTCAAGGGTGGGCACCAACGCACGGCAGCGGCATCATCGGTTCCCCCATCCCCCACACGCTGGCCTCTGTCGAGACAAAGCTCAGGGCCATGGCAACTGAAAAGTAATTCAATTGTGAGCATCACATCCAACTGGAAAAACGTTTAATTACGATTGGTGCTTTTCATTTTACTATTAAAAGTGACGACAGACCGGGGTTGGGTTTTTTTTTCTTCTCTCTCTCTCCTGTGATCTGGAGGAAACATTAGGGGTGCCCTCGGAACTCTCTCTCTGCGTCAACGCACCCGATCGCTCGCCGAGCACAGCAGCCGCCCTCGTGCGACGTGAAGTTATCTTGAATGAACACAAAGAAAACCAAACGGGATGAGAAAACCACACGGATCATGCGTTTCACTCTGTAAATGAGCTCCCAAGTGTATGGCCCTTGCATCGTTTTATTATTATTACGAGCCTGTTTTATCACACGCTGCCGGTGGATTGACGCGTCTTTGCTGACCGCCGGTTAAATACGAGAGGTGCGGGGGGCCATCCAGAAGAACTGCCCCCCGCCTGTTTGGCCAATACGGCAACTTGTTTACCATAACGCTCGACTTTCGGTTTGTTGTTGAGACTGCGACGTTTTACCCTACACCCCGAAACCCGCCACCCCAAAACCCTCCTTCCACGTCTTATTCTAACGTAACCGTTGCAATTTTTTTAAATTTCAAGGCATTTTTTCCTTTCTTCTCTCGAACGCGCTAACCGATTTGCCGCGTCGAAGTCTTTTTTTGAACGTCGTGTGAGAAAAAGAAAAAAAAAATCACCGGGCAAAGCACATCCGACCGCCTTGGCGCGAACAAAAGGAGCGGGCAAAAAATACTCGCCGGGCTGAAGCAGTTCTGACTCTCACCAGATTAGACTGTGGCCAATTCGGAGCCGCGGGGTCCGTTGGAATTCATGTTTGGAAACCCTTATAAGCTATAGGTTACAGCTCTTGGTACATTTGTTGAAGTGTGTGGGGCGTTGTTGTCGTTAAGCGCGGGCAAGGCAAGGCTGAAACATTTTGGTGACGATTATTTTGCGAAAATTACCTTGCAGAGGTGTAGGTACTTGATACGTTTTTTAATCTAATAAACAGTTAAAAAAGCAAAAAAAAATGCAATTGAAACCTATATAAAGTATACAAAAGTAAAACTATTGGGTAGCCCGACTGACCGTAAAGGAATACGGCCATGAGCACGCATTGCATTTCGTGTAGTGGGACTTTGATCTGGTTGGGAGTAACGTCATGAAGGTCCACATATTGAGATTGCAAGACCCCTGTAATGAACGCAATCCAACAACGCTCGTGTTGAGCCAAGGGGTGTCCAACACCCTCCCGCCGTCCCCGTTTCTCCGCGTGCACCATCATTCTCCCACACGTACATCGACCACCAACAACAACAATTCTTCGTGCGTGGCTTTAATTGGGAATGGTGGAGAGAACCCTTCCTGGCGGACGAGAGAAAAGGCACGGTGGTGGTGGTGGTGGGGAGGAAGGGGTGAGAGCTTGGTTCGTGAACTTCACCCACTGAGGATCTGAAACGCAAGTGGGGACGCCTTTGCGTCGGGTTTCGCGAGCGACGACGATTTCACCCACAAACTCTTGCAAAAGCAGCGAGCGGAATCGCGCTAATTGTTGGCCCGGGGTGTGCACGCGGGTTTCACGACGCGGTCCCAACCGCAGATGGCAATCGGGCAGTCGGCGCTTTGCGAGACTGGAGGGCACCCAAACTCACCGCCCCCCCCCCCACCCTGTTGCTGGGTCGGCTCTCGTACTTCGCCTTAGAGGCCATCCATTGAGTACGTACGCATGGAGGGGCGAGGGGGGTTAACTCAAACTGCGTTCGCTTGCGTATGGGGGGTCTACTGACAATGTACGTACAGGAAACGGGGCGGGGGGGTGAAGCCTCGATAATAATTTGTCTACATTGGCCTTCAAATTAGTTAGATAGTCCGGCGGTGGACTGTCTGTTTGCTTAAACACGTTAATATTATTAGTTCTTGATCGTTTCTGCGGGGATTAAATATCGGCCGTTCTGTAGGATTTGGGGGGTGCGTCAGGCGTATGTACGCACGCAGGTGGGGGGGGGGGGGGTGTAAAAAGTCCGCGTGCGTACAGGGAGGGGGGTAGGGGTCAAGTTTTGACAGATTTTTGCGTACCTACTAAATGGATGGCCGCTTAATGGGCGTAATCACGGCTCTTCCGAATAAGCCGGAGGAGGCGAGGGGTAGAGGAGACCGTCAGAGTACGAATGCTTTGGTTAAAACGAACGCTGGGAAAACAGGAAAGGTACTTTGGCGAAACAAATAAATGAACATGTTTACTGTTCCGGGACTCAACACCAAGGGGCAATCGTGTTAGTATTCCGTGTTCCCGCAGAGTCGTGTTTATATAACGTCGGGTTAAGTACTGTACGTGATTCACAACAGAAGAGACAACAAAAAGCGTTGGCGTCTAATTTCTTGAATTTCGAAACCACGCCAACCACAGATCGGAACGTACAACGGGGGCGCTTTAACGCGCGTTGTAATGACTGAACTCGTCTGCCTGCAGTCCCATCTGTCCACAAATGCCAGTGAGGAATTGCTGTCGTTGTTGAGTCGATTTGGGGGATGGTGGTGGGGGGGTGGAAATTGTTGGTTGGTTTGGTTAGTTTACACGAAGGCTCCGTAGCAGCAACAGCAGCAAGAACCGCTGGCAAGGGGGTTGGGGAAGGAGAAGGCCCCGGCTAAAAGTGCGTGGAGTTGCGATTAGCCGAATGCTTCTGGCAAGAGAGAACCCACGTGGCTTCTCTTTAGACGACCGTGACCCGGCTCTCAACTTGTGTGCAAATCAAGGCGGTGGTTGGGTTTGACTCGGCACGGGAAATGGAGATTACGGTCTGCCCTATGAGCCACTGTAGTTCTATTCATATGTTTTTTTCGGTAAAGTCACGTAGGTAAAATTTTTTTTTTTTATTAATAAAAATAAAATAAAAATCACGACGTTTCGGAGGCAACACAAGCTTCCATCTTCAGGTAGTTCTGTCCCCGACAACACCACGTGGAGAAACATGGAGAGGTTTCGATTTAAAGCTTTCGTGACTGCAGGGATTCATCTTCTTGGTTCTTTCGTCACTTTACCAAAAGAACCAAGAAGATGGAGGGGTTTGTTTGTTGTTGATCATTTTAAGCTTTCACTTCAGAAGCGCACCGAATTTGATGTGTCAATACATTTTTTTGTTATCAACTTGGGTACATTTTCATGGAGAAGTTTAAGTCTAAATCTCTGTACTTGTAAGCAACAAATGACGACAGCTTTGGTTAAAAATGCCGACAGCAATTTGAATACAGTACCAAGTCTTTGTGATCATTTTAGTTGAAGTGACAATTTACGACACATTCACGGTATACAGTTCTACAATTTGTATTGGCCCGATGCAAAGCTGAATCTTTTGTTTAAATCTACAACACGCATTTCTTTAGCCGAATAGCTGCCGTTATCCCAATTGAAACTGAATCGGAAATTGTGGATTGTGAAGCTGTTTGAGGTGGCTGGGTGGGGGGAATTGGGGGTGGTAGGTTGCTTCTAAAAGTTTCGAAACGTAAGCCCACCTTTTGTATCATAACACCGTCTGTGCGACAACAAAAATCTCCACTTGCGTTGCGTTGCGCCTAACAGGGGAAGATCAACAACGGCTGGACCTTGTGAGCCTCGCCGTCTTAGCCGACCACTGTTATACTTGCGCGATGCGAGCTGACACGTTTACGAGAGGAGTGTAAAAACATCTGTTAGCGTAATGATGTAGCGGCACCACGTGCTCTCTCGCAGAGGTCTGAAGTTTTGCCTCTTCCCCTGATTGTATAATCTGTGCGCGTCGTTCGGCCATTCGTGGTGGAAGCAAGCAAGCCTTCATTTCCCCAAAACTCGCTCAGCAATGTACACGGCGACTCCCAAAGAGTTTGAAGGCTGTCAACAAAACGCCAAATGGTGAGATGGTGGCAGGGAGCGATAATCATCGCATGGCCACCGGGGACGGGTTGAATTTGGAGACGTGGTGACAGCGATTCACGTTACAGAGTTCCACCAGGTTTCCGTATTCTCCAGATGATAAGACGCTGCGGAGAGCAAAACGCGCCCTCAAACGAGTGCCCGGTGTCAATACAGTTAAGCAATTCTGGTCACACAAATACTCGTCACTAACGCACTCTAATATATATACTAGGACACACACACACACGTACATTCACACGCACACCAACCAGAAGCACTCACAAATGTTACTTTAAAATACAAGGGGTGGGAAGTGCGTCTTATAATCTGGAGAATGTGGTCGAATGCAAATTATCATCATCATCTGCAAGGCCTATCCATGGAAATGTGGCCACTTGTTGAAACGACTGTGAGTCTAAAGTGAACTGTTTGGAGACGAGTGGGTGGGTGCGTACCGGACCATCGGTTTAAAACAAAGAAAATCTATTCTCAACAACCTAAACGGCATTCCGTGTATTCGGAGCTACAATTTAAGTTGCCCGCACGCAAAGTGTTGCTATATCACTAACCCCGCGAATCAGCCGGTCACCTGGTGGGCTATGTCACCTGTGAGAGGCTGACCCAGAGTAACGGTCAACAGGGTCCCTGTTCGTAAGCCACTGATGTTAAGCCCTCGTATGTGAGCACGTTTCATGATCACTGGTTTTCCTTTGAACGTTTGAAGGTATTGTTTTTGTTTTCTCCCCCCCCTCTCCTCCCCGTAAATTTGTGAATAAGTCATGTTACGCAGTATATAATTTTCCGGTTTCCGTGATAAACGGTACATTAAAATATAATGCATATTGATGTTAAACGTTCCTAAGGATATGCTTTGAAAAAGAACACAATTCAAGTTTTAAATTAATGCATTCTTCCGTGGATTTTTCAAGCTAAAATGTCTTTGTTGGTTCGGGTCAGACAAAAACCAACACTTTTATTGGGCAGTTCTTAATTTTAAATGTTTTAAAGGAACACAGTACAGTATTCTGAAGATCCCCCTACACACCACCTCTCTTACATGATGTATTTTTTTTGTCTTAACAGCACTGGACCCCAACAAAGAGTCAACAAAACTGAACGTGTAAAAAAAAAAACCTGAACATTTTAAATGCCTTTTTTGTAGCCACTTCTCTCATATTTATTTGGTGTTTTGGTTTGAGCGACCTTCCGTGGTGTGTATTCTGTTTATCTTGCAGCATATAAATATATGTACTGGAGGGAATTACCTTTTGTTTAAATGTTTTTTTTGCAAAAATGTAATAAACAATGAAATAACGTAAACGGGTGTCTAGATTCCTAAGGGCTTGCGTGTGTATTTCAGCAATGTTTAAAAAACACATTACCACTTGTGTTATATTTTCCAGATACAATACGTTCATTTCATCATCTGAAGCATGTTTTATGATGTGTGCGTGTTATAATTAAATAACTTCGCCATCCTCTACGGCCCATTGTCAAAGGGGGGTCTCGCTATGTAGTGGGCAGCAGAGGAGACTTTAGAAAAAATGCATTGTGCAGTCGCCTTCGAACTTGCCGCATATATATGGTCCACCACCTTCAATTACCCCCACTGACCAGCGTGGTGAAGTATAGTCAAATAACCACTAATCTGCACGGCCGTGTTGGGGAGGCCCTCATCTCGCAGTGGATTGACAGACGACTGTATGTGTACATAGTTTACGGTTGGACAATATTTTAAGATGTCGGTGGATATTTTATTCCAGACTACAGCCGTGTACAGGATGGACCAGATGTCTGAAACATTTTTCAAGTCAGGTTTAGTTAAAACAGAAATGAATATGCAAAGGAAAACAAATGTCAAGGGTCAATTAATTGGGAGGTCACAAGACATCTGGACCTCCCTGTACATCCCTGCCAACACAGTCACAGTACTTTAAAGATGTACATCGTGAAGGTTTCGGCGCAGTGGTTATCGCAACGCGCTCTGAACCCGACGATTCCTGACCACGGTTTACGTCCGAACTGGCCCCTGGGTAGCAACGCCTTAACAAACCCGCATCACCCAGCGTGGTGAAGTATGGTCGAACAATTCCCCCGTGACCGATGTGCCGTGGAGAGGGCCCTCTTCTCGCGGTGAACCCATTCAGTTTTACATTTATCAAGCGGTAACATTTAACTTACAATGGACGTAAGCGGCTGCCACGTGACCCTAACCCGAATTGCAATCAGCAGCAGGGGGCGCCAGTAGCTTGGCGTCACTAATTATAATTAGTCGTATAATTATACAACCCCGAGTGGAGAGTCAACATTGGCGGCTGGGAATCTGATGCAAGCCTGGGGGAGGGGGGGGGAGTTCTCTGAATGTAAGTTAAACAAAAGGCTATGTTTGTTATAGATTGATGTTATTTTTCGCTTAGTTTTTTTTTACGACCAAACTCATGACTTGATGCAAACATCAACATTGAGTCTTCGTCTTCTTTCGTACGGCTGCTGATGTTGTAGATGCAGAGCAACAACGTACAATAATAATGTTTTTTACCCTTCTATCTGGCAACAAATCTGACACATTTTTTTTTACGAGGGATCATGTTTGCATTAACCACAATACTTGCGGTCAAAATGCAAACAAAAAAAATATTACTATATTTGGCTACTTGCAAAGGAGGTCTCATCAACAACGTACAATTTCATATTCAGGTGGTCAAGCCCCAGATAACCACAGCGTCAGGAGCTGCGGAGTGTATCATCACAGTTTTTCATTTTCTCATTTGCATCTCCTTCCATGGTTTGTGCGGTGGATGCGATTGAGGGTGGATCATGAGCTTGGTGGACGATAAAACCCGGGTATCTTCTGCTTTGGGTCTGTCACGAGACGGTGTTTGTGAGTGAACTCCATTCAGCTCCCCAAAGCTTCATCGGGGTTGAATTCGCATTGAGAAAGGCCAGGACACGCACACGTCACGTTATCACAGCTGTCGACCCACACGGTTTACCCCGTATTCTTGTACAGGGAAATTGCGTTTTTAGGTCCATACGGCATACAGCCGTTTCAATACGGGTAAAACAAAATTGTCTATTTGTTTGTTTCTCCCTTGTGATGGGACTTTGTAGGATGAACGTTGAGATTTTTAAGGGGCACGTGGTGACCAATAAGTTCTGAATTGGTATGTAATAAGGTAGGGGGCACTGGTAAGGGGTTGACGGGTTTGCGTTATTGTCAGGGTTGTCCATGCGATTGATTTTGACGTCCGCCATCAATTTAAAGTTTTTTCTAGATTTGAAGCTTTCGTGACTGCAAGGATTCATACTCTTAGTTCTTTCGGTAAAGTCACGTAGGTAAAATATGAAATAAAAATGAATAAAAAGAAAAAAATAATATTTTTTTTTTTTTATTAATTTTAATGTCATTTTAATAAAAAAAAAATTCATTTTTTACCTACGTGACTTTACCGAAAGAACTCATTTAAAGTTCTGCCATCCGGACCCTTTCCGCACTCCCTGCAACTGACGATGTGGGCAGCAGAGGGCAGCACAGCGACACCCAGTGCTGTTGCGCTGTACGTCTAAGCAGTCCCGTGTACGCTCATCGGCCTTGACCAACACGCTGACTGACGGGCGTGGTGAAGTATGCATCCAAGAAACCCCGTGACCCGCGAGGCGTGGGGAGACTAATTCAGCGAGTGCATTCAGGGCAGAAGTATATATTTCACGGAAGGAGCCTGGGTTTAAATAAGCATGTAAATACACCACAATGTGCCGATACAGTGATGCAGAAAATTTAAAATTTTTGGTGTTGCACATTTTAATAATGTATATATTAAGCATGTTGACGTTAGATATTCAAATGCATAAACTTGGCTTTGACCCCCAAACCACGCACATCCAATCATCAGCTGTCGGCTCTGGAGCTCATTGATATGTAAACGGTCTTGGTAAATGCAATACAGCCCATTCCTAAGCTAACGGTCGAATCGACTGGGCAAAACTCATACAATTAAATATATCATAAATATAACATTGAACCATAGTGTTAATAAAGTTTAAACTTCACCGGCTAGCGTTGCGAAGTATGGTTAGAACATAATAAACGTTTTTTGGGTTAGATTGCGTTATTTATGAATGTGTCGTAACCCTCCACCACCCGACACGGCCAATCAGCTAAAAAGTGTCACGTTGACAAAAGACAAATAGTTCACTGCTTTAGCCCACCGGTGTGTTGAAGAGTAAATCCACAAATTTGAAGAGTGAATACACAAATTCATCCCCGACCAATTCCCCCCCGCCCCCCCGAGCATCGCCTCGCCCGGAGCATCTCCGGCTGACATTGCATCCCTTGCACGCACTGCTGCTGATTTATTCCACGCTTCTCGCAGCAGCAGCATCGTGACTGCCGTTGTGCCACCGCCTGCCCCCGCCCCTCAAAAACCATCGCCTGCCCCCGCCCCACCGATACACCGCCCCCACCACCCCCACCCGCCCCACCCGCCCCACTGCTCCACCCACCTCACCCACCCCACCACCCCCACCGCCCCACCAATCCACCACCCCACCGCTCCACCCGCCCCACCACCCCCACCGCTCCACCCGCCCCATCGCCCCCACCGCCCCCACCGCACCACCCGTCCCACCCACCCAACTACCCCCACCGCCCCCACCTGCCCCACCGTCCCCACCGCCCCACCCGCCCCACCGCCCCACTGCTCCAACCACCCCACCACCCCACCCATCCACCGCCCCACCACCCCCACCGCCCCACCGATCCAACGCCCCCACCACCCCCACCGCCCCACGGCTCTCCCGCCCCGTCCCCATCACGGTTTTTAACGAGTGGATTTTTCGCGAGTGGATTTTCGGTCAAGTGGCTCCCAGTGGCGGCACTGCGCTCGAGGAGGCCCGCGAGTGCGTGCGTAGGGCTCTTTAGTCGCTGCTGCTGCTGCTACTTCCACCACCGACGCTACCGGCTTGCCACTGGCTGCTGCTGTTGCTGCTATTTATGCCACTAACAAAAAAAATGCTCCAGCTTTTTGGTCCCTGAGACTGGAGTCTTGTTTTCGCAGCTGGCATAAGCCGGGGGTCTTGGAGCGCGTTTCCCACGCCAGCTCTGAAGACGGGAGAAGAGGGGGGGGGGGATTAAAGTGAAGGGAGAAATAAACGTGTTTGGAAACATCACGTGTTTGGAAACATCACGCATCGGTTGATTTACTGCGTTACTCCCGGAAAATTATACGCCCCCTACAAACCGCGTGTCCGAGTGTTCGTACAAATCATGGCTCGGCACGCGCACACCTACTTGGATTATAAGACGCACCCCTAATTCTTGCTTACAAAAAATAAAGTGCGTCTCATAAGTCGAAAAAGAGGGGAACGATTTCCAACAACGACGACAACAAAATACGTTTCACGTCGGAATAAATTAATCCGTGATATGGAAGTCGATGGTCGGCTTTTTGTGCAAAATTCGTTTGCATATTCGCAACGGGGACTCCCTTATCCTCTTTAACTCTGGGTTTGTCTCCCAATATTTGGGGGGGGTGGGTTTGGACAGGGGGGGGGGGCATCCCTTTTGATCAATTTTGGTCGGATTTCTGTCCGATGGTAACGAGACCACTTCACGGCGCGCGATTTTCCGCCACCGCTCGCCAAACCCGCCCGTGGACTCGGAAGCCAAAGAGCCGCCCCGACTGTGGACAGAATGGCCCTTTAACCCACGTGTTTCACGCGCCCGTGCCAGCTCCAATTAAGCTAATTAGTGAAGTAAAGAGCTTTTGGAAATTGCTAGCGACGGGGCGCAAGGCTTCCCTCCTCCCCCCCCCCCCCCCACGTCTTGTGCGTCGATGTTAACCCTCGTTACTTCGCGAGGTATTTGTGCCTAGAAGGAATGCAAAGGGTAGGTTGAAGCAAGACGAGATTATTATTATGTGTGTGTGTTCGGGCTGCAGGGGCTTTGGCCCCAACAGCCCTGGGCCTCTTTACACTGTTTGGCCACGTGTTGTGAACGTTATTCGATACGCGCTGGAGCAGTGAACCTGACCCCCCCCCCCCACACTCGAGTTAGAATCCCGGCCACGGCTATGATCGTCAGTGGACGAGGGACACCTGAACCGAGACTGGAGAGAGGGGGGCGGAGGTGGGGGGGGGGGGGGGTCTCCCCACCACCTCTAACCAACCCACACTGACCAGCGTGGTGAAGTAAAACAAGATAAAGGTGCAGTCCTGGCAGTTTCTATGGGCGTCATGGTGGCGAGATGTTAACACTTTTGCCTGTTTTGCAGGAGGTCGTGGGTTCGATCCCGACCCTGACGCCTGTTGTATATTTGGAG